GCTTTACAGTAATCTAACGATTTTTTCATAAAAAAAATACTCAGCTTCAAATTAATTTTCCATCAGAGCCTGAAGGACGATAAAAACAATAAAATTAAATAAGTCAGATAAAATTAGAAATAAGTCCACCACTCTTCTCCTCATCCTCTCCCCCTCCTGCCTGCTCTGTTATCCGCAGCAGACACCCCCGCCCCGCGCGCGCGACAAATACGGACTTTAAACGTGAAGTTTTATAACATTCACACTGACGAGGTGGATGCGCCCTGCGCGTGTATCCAAAGCGTGACATTTGCTGTTCTGCTGTTCTTGTCGGGGAGAGTTCTGTGGGTCAGGGAGGGGTCTGTGGGTCAGGGAGGGGTCTGTGGGTCAGGGAGGGGTCTGTGGGTCAGGGAGGGGTCTGTGGGTCAGGGAGGGGTCTGTGTGGGTCAGGGAGGGGTCTGTGTGGGTCAGGGTCGTCTGAGGAGGAAGGAGATGAAGGGAGTTGCGCACGGGAACTTTTATTTAAGATTTAAGTTGCATTTATTTCAAAGGTCCTCATGGCTCAGCAGCAGAAGCATAAATATTACTGTTAAAAAAGCTGATGATAAAGTTGAATAAAAATCTAAGTCAGATTCTGAAGGTAAATTAAATATCTGACAGTGATCATTACACAGTGTGGCTCTAATTCCTCACTTCACCATCTGTGTCACAGTTTCACGTCTCCAAAACGAGCGTATGCATGGATCAGAGCTGGCGTGAGGCACCGCACATTTTCACATCAAGTTTGGATTTTATAAATCACAACCGTAGCGTAAAAAGTGGCGTACGCAAGTTTCTGGGCTCAAATTGTYCGTACGCCAGTTTTATAAATCTGACCCCAGGACTGGAGATTGTGACAACAGTATCTACTGAAGCTATAACATCGCTACCTACCTCCTCTATCCAACCTGGCACAATTTATTCTTTGTGTCTTCCTCTGGCTTCATAAAATAATTGTGGTCACACCAGCTGCTGGCTACAGCCTGGAGGCTCCTGGCTACAGCCGCCTCCAGCGCAATTTCACCCCGCTGGATCAGTTGACGACAGGCCGCGTGCCGTGCAGTCACCCTGGGCAAGTGTTTGGTAGCGACAGACTGGTGCTTGGGGAGGCCAACGCATGTCCGTCACCGCTTCCTGAGGCTGGCGTTGTGGAGGGGGAAAGACGAACAGAGGGGCTGCAGCCTGGAGGCTCCTGACACCAGAATCTCAAGGCAGCATGGTCTCCAAAGGTGCTCGCCTCCTCTGTTGTCGATCACAGCCGTAACCTATTGTTCAGCATTAGTTTTTGCAAAATGACAAATCATATTCATACCGAACAGCAACACTAAACACATGAGACATCACTTATATCACCATCATCAAGTTTCCTTCAGTTGAAAGTCCTTGAGTAAATCCTGCTGTGTTGTTGTTTTAATTGGTCCATGGTGAAATTATTTGTGCAAACTACAAATTTCTTTGGCAATGTTGCAGGGGCATTGCGATCATAAATAAAAATAAAATTAGGCCACTCATCTCTATTCTCTGTGACGTGGTCTTTCTGAAGTGGGTGGAGTCTATGCTTGGGTTACCAGGTGAGGGGTTGGTCTCGTTTTAGGCGTTGCTAGGTTAGCCAGATTGTGACGTAACAATCCACAGGTTTTTGTAACAGCTCATTTTCTGACACTTAAAAAACATTTAAAAATTGCCAAAAAAAATGGCTGGGAGTATTGTCTTTGGCACTTGGATTGTTTCTAGAAGCAGTACAGACCCAGTATAATAACATGTAAAAAGTGAATTTTGCGTAATAGGTCCTTTTTAATCCACAGTTTGATATGATGGGTTGCACAGCTGTCCCCTTATAGTCAAATGGCTTCTTCATCTCCTGCACACACCTTCCCTAAAATTGCAAATAATCTTGCCTTTTTTTTGTCCCTCAAGACTCCTTTACATTTGGTGATGGGAAGCATTAATTAGATTATTATTCAAAGCTGAAGATATTTTAGCAAATTATTCAATTAAATCAAATTATTATTTTGTATATATAAATTTTGTCCTTTTTTTCACTCCTTTTTTTCATGAACCTGAACAAGTGTGCTGTCTTCACAAAAAATCACATGCCTTATTTTTACATACTGTATTTTCAACCGTTTAAAACCTTCTGATGAAACAGGAAACTTGGTTAGAAGTGAATAATGAATAATGAATATTTTATTTCTTCCGTAAGGACATCATTACCGGGACAAGCTAATAGTTTAAAGTTATTTAAATATCCTGACACTTCAAAGCAATTTTCATTTTCTGAAATTTCACAGAGAAGAAATTTATATAGTAGTTATTAGAGGTTAGTACTGATGTTAAAAGCACAACACTATATTTTTAGGTTTTCCTTTTTATAATGTTGACAGTGTTTAATCTATTATGTTTTGATTGATAATAGATTAGTTACATGTCCGAAATATCTGTGACAACACATAATTAAACGTTATGAGAACATTAGATGAGAATTTTGTCTGAATGCCTGTGATTCATTTAGGTCAGTAGGGGGCGAACGCAGGCATTGAAGAATCTTGTATAAATTGATGAACTTCCTGGTTTTTCGCCAGTGTGGTTTCCTGTCAGCTCCAGTGACTTTAAACCTCACTCAGATCCAGAATTCTGGTGTTGTATGGTTTGATTCCTTCTACAAATCATTTTATTTAACAGTGGTGGTTTTAATATCGACTTCAGTTTATTGAATACGAATTTTCTTACAGTTTTGGTGACCCCGACGTGGTTGCAAGTTATTCTATGGATCAAACAAACATACATGTGTGTTATATTAAGATCATGGAAGTGTTTAGAGCCAAACGTTTTGTGCTTCTTTAGATTTTAAAGGTTGTGGATTGGAGAATATGTTTTTGCAGAAGCTCATAAACCCACCCAAAGAAAGCAGGTAATGTTTCGTGGTTTCAATAGGTGGAAGAGATGCGTCGGGATTTTGAGGAGAAGCTGCGAACGTTCAGCCAGGCTCAGGCCCAGTTTGAGGCAGACAAACGGCGGGCGCTGGATGAGATGAGGGCCACTCACCGGCAGGAGGTGGAGGAGCTCCGCAACAACCAGCAGAACCACAGCGCCACCTCCGCTGAAGACCAGGAGAAACTGGCCGAGCTTCATAGACAAGAGGTGGGCTACGGACATGGGAAACAGGATGGTTATTTAGCCGTTATGAAGACACAATTTTGTTAAAAGATCACAGTAAATCCAAAAAATAAAATTGTTTTACTGATGCTGGTGTTGATTTATCAGCACTAAAGAAACTGGTCATTTTGTGAGTCATCTTATTTTATTAACCCAATTATTACCCATCAAAAATAAAACATATCCTTAAAAAGATTAACTTAAAAATAAAACATTTAAAAATTAAATAGTACACAGGCACAGAATATTCAAAATAGATTATTTTAAACAATCGTCTGAATGCCATTTGTTATGAAAACTCCAATGCTCAAGCCTAGAATTTGCTGCACATTGATCCATCTCTGTGCAGGTAGAGTCACTGATGGAGAGGGTGGAGGAGCTAACAAAGGATAAGGTCCGTTTGGTGGAGGAGTACGAGGCCAAGCTGGCCAAGGCTCAGGAATATTATGAGAGGGAGCTGGAGGCCATGAGGAGAACACATCAACTCACCACTGAGAACCTGCTTGCCTGGAAGAGGACTGAAGTAAGAACACACTGCTAAGTAGCTCACCAAATCTTAGCTCAAAATCTGTAAAACTAGGAATGCAATAGCCATTTTTATGTTTACTAAGAGCATTGAGCTGTAGCAGCCATCTTGAATTTAGCTCAATCCAAATGTTAGTTGCAGTGGTTGATAAGGTACTTTGCTAACAGATGATTAAAATTGACTCCAACAGTTATGCCAGAGTTGTAAGAACAGATCTGATGTGATCAGTTAGAGCTTGCAGTATATTTTGAGTATGCATCTAAACTACTAGAACACCAAATTTTAGCTGAACAACAGTAAAATAGACCTAGTTAGAGTTAGTTATTTTTTGTCTTACCTCTTTGAAATAAGGACCAGGAGAAAAAAAGTCTGATTAATTCTGTCAAATTGGTGATGTGAACTTTCCTCTTCTATCCACAATTTCCTCTAGAACTGTTGCACTTCTTTTCACGCCATGTCATTCTGTATTTTTAAGCAGAGTGTGTGAGTTAGTTGATGCCACCAACCTTGCTTAGCTGGGCCGTGATAGGGGGAGTGGCTAAACCCTCTCCTCTGCCTACATCCCCCATAATTTTTAAATTTGTTTTTCTGTTGTTTAAAAATGCTGTGCATTTCTGGATTGGTGTTCAGTGAAATGATAATTTTATCCGACATATTTTCTGTTTATATTGCTCACGTGTTTATTGCGATATATAGTTATAGTTCCCTTTCAGTCAATTCACTCGGTACAACACATCATGTATGGGAAACCACGCCCCTGTGCGTCCTGGCTGAAGCCACCTCTAATCARGCCTTTAGGCAGGTGACGTGATGACGACAGATGTCAGGCTCCACCTGCACATATATATACTGTCGCCATCACAGTCACTCCTTAGTTCTATTGCTCTTCACCTCGCAAGAACACCCACCTCTTCCAACCTAGCTAGTTAGCTGCTGCTAATTAGCTTTGTTTGTTCGAAGGTTCTCGGATTTAGTTTAACGGCTTTTGTTGGTGTCAGCTGCAGCTGCCTACTGGTAACTGTGTCTGCCCGCAGAGCAGTAACTTTTAGAAACCTTTCTTACCTCGACGAAAGAAAGAGTTTTGTGGTTCGGGATGAGCACAAAATTACTCAAGAAGAAGCAGAAGTCTTCAGTTCGCCCCTGTCCCCAGCGGTACGGCTTCTCGCTTCACGAAAAGGACCAGCATGAGGCTTGCCTGGTCTGTTTGGGGATCGTCCACGCTAGTAGGGTGTTGACGGAGCCCGAAGCATGTGCGTCTTGCCGCCTGCTTCAACGCTCAACCCTGGAGAGACGGGTTAAGTTCTTGGAGAAAGTGCTGGGCGAGGCTACAGTCGCGAGGCAGGACCCTTTCCTCTCAGAGTCTAGTAACCCGGTTCCGTCCGAGTCTGACGAGGAGGAGCCCTCGGTCGAAGTCCCTGCTTCCAGCTGGGCAGACCAAGTGGAATAAATGGAGGGGATAGCCAACAAAGAGGAGGAGGCCTCCCAGTTTAATCTGGACCTCCACCACGGAGGCGAGGACGTGCTGGATATCAGCCTGGATGTGCATGGTCTGTCGGAAGACGACGATGAACCCGGTCCAAGTCCAGAAGCCCCCGCTACTGCGGGGGCAAACCAGGAGGACACGTTTTTTCTCTCTTTGTGTCGTCGCGCGGCTTAGAAACTGGAGGTGGAATGGCCTGCTCGCCCTCCTGCACAAAAACCGTCTCGTTTGCTGGATTTTTTCTCCCTACCGAACCGACCACGGTGAAAAACCGTCTTCCCATGTTCCCAGACTTCGTCTTGGAGCTGACGTCCTGCTGGACCAAACCTCTGTCCACCCACGTCATCGTGCCCGGTTATGGACCGTACAGTATTTGGATTTGGAAGGAGCTGAAAAAGCTGGACTGGTGAACATATCTCCCATGGAGCCGTCCCTGGCAGCGTATTTGGCCCTGTCTCACAACCATGGGTGTGAGCGGACCCACCACGCTCCCTTCCAAGCCGTGTAGATTTTCTGCTGCGCAGCTTGAAAAAATCTACAAGGCTCAGGCCACCACCGCTCGCGGCCTGAGCTCCATCAGCATGCTCCAGACTTACCAGGCTATGGCTCTGGCGGAGCTCAGAGCCCAGGTACCGGCCGAGAGTCCTCTGCTGCCTCTCTTAAATGAGATCAGACTCACCGCGGACTACATCCTCTGTGCGTCCCGCGGCGTAGCGCTCTCCCTGGGCAGAGGGATGGCTTCAACCGTGGTGGCTCAGAGACATTTGTGGTTGACACTCTCTGATGTCCCCGACAGAGACCGGGCCACATATCTGGATGAACCAGTTATGGCGGCTGGGTTATTCGGTCAGTCTCTCGACGTTATTCCGGCAAAGTTTGAGCTGAGGAAGAAGCAGGCAGAAGCTCTGCGCTGCATTATCCCCAGACGGGTCTCGAGACCCAAGACCAGCACACAGAAGCCGGCCGAACAGCCGCCTCCGGTGAAGAGAACGGTGCTGCCTGGGAGCCTAGGCACCCAGCCACCYCAGCCTCATAACCACGGCCAACCCCCCCGCCAGTCGGCTTGGAGCAAGGGCCCCCCCTCTGGGTCTTCAGAAAGGCGTGATGCCTCGGAGGAAGAAGACACAGTCCTCCTAAATGTGGAACTGTCACTGTAGGGACTTTGGGACCAGGGAGACATGTTCGCCAGTTTTCGGCTGCCACCCAAGAGGCATTTTGTTTGTACTGTTCAGGAAAGCAGCCCCAAGAGGCGCTGCGTTTCTATAACACAGTCTCTCAAGCACCAGTCCCACCCCACACACACACTGTTTGTACCAAAAGCCCCCAGTTTGGGTGCGCTAAATGTTCAGAATGTAAATGTACAAAATGGTTGTGTAAACTTGTTGAATTTGTCAATAAAGGAAACACTTCACACACAAAAAATCAAAAAAATCTGAAAAGTTGTGAGCGACAGTCATATAATGCTGCACCTCTCTCATGCGACAGAGGGCAGCAGGACTTCGCTAACACAAGTCGGTCGCCTAGCAACGCGACTCTCTCTCTGGCGCGCATGCGCACCATCCCCTTGGGTAGAGAGAACTGTCGCAATGGGTTACCGACTACAGTTCTGCATACGGCCGCCCCGTTTCAACACCGTGTTAAACACTGTTGTTGGAAACAAAGCAGCCGTGGTTTTGAGAGAGGAAATAAACACGCTACTGGCGAAAGGAGCCATACTTGTGGTCCCCTCTTCGGACATAAACAAAGGTTGGTACAGCCGTTATTTTGTCGTTCCGAAAAGAAGACGGTGGCCTCCGTCCGATTCTAGACCTGAGAGTGTTAAACAAGTTTCTACGAACATACAGGTTCAAAATGCTAACACTCAGGCCGCTTCTGCATTCGATCAGCCCGGGCGACTGGTTTGCCACCATCGATTTAACAGACGCTTACTTCCATGTAGCGATTCACCCGGACCACAGGAAATTTCTGAGGTTTGCGTTCGAAGGTGTAGCCTACGAATACCTGGTGCTGCCATTCGGTCTGTCACTGGCACCCCTCACCTTTTTAAAATGTGTCGAAGTGGCGCTATCTCCTCTCAGGGAGAAAGGAGTTCGCCTGTTAGCGTACCTGGACGACTGGGCTCTGATAGCCAGCTCCAAGGAGCAGGCTACAGAGCATCTGTCTCAGYTRRTGTCGCACATTCAGGCTCTGGGTTTTTCTGTAAATTTTCAGAAAAGCTTATTGACTCCGAGTCAGCAGTTTTCTTTCCTCGGTTTAGAAATATGCTCCCTGTCGGGCAGAGCGCGTCTCTCAGAAAACAGAGTAGCTGCGTTTCACCGCTGCCTCGCTCAGTATCAACTGGGACGCAAACTGCATTTTCAGACCATTCTGCAACTGTTAGGCATCATGGCTTCTATGATCGCAGTAGTACCACTCGGCGTGCTAAAAATGCACCGGTTTCAGCACTGGTCCCGCTCTCACCGGCTGTGTGCATTACGTCACCGCCACAGAAAGCTAACGATAACTGCCTCATGTATGAAGGCTCTCAGTCCTTGGAGGGAACCCGGACTGCTATGCCGAGGCTCACAAATAGGGAGAGTGTCCTTTCGCAAAGTGGTATCCACAGACGCCTCCCTGGTGGGGTGGGGGGCTCTATGCGATGGTGCAGCAGTGAGGGGGGTTTGGACTCTGAAGCAGTACAGGCTCCACATAAACTGCCTGGAATTGTTAGCGGTTCTGTTAACACTGAAACATTTTATACAGTTCTGAAGAACCAACATGTTCTGATCAGAGCAGACAACACGACCGTAGTGTCATACATAAACAGACAGGGGGGAACACGGTCTCTTCCCCTGTTGGAACTGTCTCACACTCTCTTGCAGTGGTGCAGCGTGCATTTCCTGTCTATCAGAGCCACTCACGTTCCTGGGAGACTGAATCTGGGCCCAGATCTACTCTCCAGGGTCGGGCCTATGGTGAGGGAGTGGAGGCTGCACCCCTCAGTGGTGGACCAAATTTGGTCCATGTTTGGCAGGTCAGCAGTGGATCTCTTTGCCACAGGGGCCAACACCCACTGCCCTCTGTTCTTTTCCATAACGGATCAGAACGCCCTACTGGGGGTGGACGCTCTAGCCCACCTGTGGCCCAATGTACTGCTGTATGCATTTCCCCCAGTGGAGATACTGCCTGTACTAGAGAGGGTACGCAGACAGGGTCTGTCTCTGATTCTGGTGGCGCCCCATTGGCCAGCAAAGTCTTGGTACGCTGAGATAATCAGCCTGCTGGCAGCTCAGCCCTGGTAACTTCCTCTTCGCCAAGATCTCTTCTCTCAGGCGGGTGGGGGTGAGGGGGGATATTTCACCCACACCCAGAGTTGTGGAGGCTGCACGCCTACCTGCTGAAAGGTCCTGCTTGCTAGCCAGGGGCCTTCCCCCGGCAGTGGTGGCAACTATCCAGAATGCGAGAGCGCCCTCCACTAGAGGTTTATATACCTACAAGTGGCACGCTTTCGAGCAGTGGTGTGAGGTCAGGCACATTGTCCCGTTTCAGTGCTCCATGGTGGATGTTTTAACATTCCTTCAGGAGCTGTTGGATAAAGGACTGGCTTTTTCCACAATTAAAGTCTACTTGGCAGCTATCTCTGCTTGCCATGTGGGTTTTGATGGAGTTACGCCAGGTGCTCATCCTCTAGTAGTGCATTTTCTGAAGGGGGTCCGTAGGCTGCAGCCTCTTATTAAAACCAGTATCCCTACCTGGGATCTTACTGTGGTGCTCAAGGCTCTCTGTGACCCCCCTTTTGAGCCCTTGGAGTCTGTGGATTTGAAGTTRCTTTCATATAAAGTTGTGTTGCTTRTHGCACWAACAACTGTTAAACYGGTCGGGGATCTCCATGCTCTGTCTGTYAATCCCTCCTGTATTCAGTTTTCACCTGATGGCTCCAAGGTGGTTCTGCATCCAAACTCAGCATATCTCCCTAAGGTGATACCTTCTAATTACAGCTCCATGTCTATTGAGCTTTCTAGTTTTTATCCTCCCCCTTTTGCATCTGAGGAACAGAGGAGGTTACATTCTTTGTGTCCTCTACGTGCACTGCGTATTTACATTGACCGCACACAGGAGGTGAGGTCATGTGATCAGCTGTTTGTGTGTGTTGCTAACCCACTCAGGGTCAGGGCTCTGTCCAGACAGAGACTCTCCCACTGGATTGTGGAGGCTATCTCGTTAGCTTACAGCAGCAGGGTTCTCCCAGTCCCATCTGGTGTGAGAGCTCACTCCACCAGGGGTGTAGCAGCATCCTGGGCCCTATTTAAAGGGYTACCTGTGAGTGACATCTGTGCTGCGGCCAGCTGGTCTTGACTGCACACATTTGTTTAGTTTTATCGCTTAGATGTGACAGCCCCCTCGGTGGCTCACTCTGTGCTCTCTGCTGGGTCTGATGTGCTGCACTAGCATGTTAWTATGACCCAAGTTTGGTGCTGCTCTGCGGGGTCTTTATATATGTCCCATACATGATGTTGTACCGAGTGAATTGACTGAAAGGGAACGTAATGTTATGCATATAACTACTGTTCCCTGAAGGAAAGGAACGAGGTACAACACATGGTGGCCCCGCTGCACAGCTGGGCTCGGTGAAGAGCAGTTACCGAACTAAGGAGTGACTGTGATGCAACAGTATTTATATGTGCAGGCGGAGCCTGACATCTGTCGTCATCACGTCACCTGCCTAAAGGCGTGATTAGAGGTGGCTTCAGCCAGGACACGCAGGGGCGTGGGTTCTCATACATGATGTGTTGTACCTCGTTCCTTTCCTTCAGGGAACAGTAGTTACATGCATAACATTACATTTTAACATCCAGCTAATTTCCAATGTCATCAGTTATTTCAGTTTTATTAAAAGTCGTTCAGTAGGATATAAGATATTTTGCTAACAGAGCAGAATAAAGATTATACACAGATGTGGGCAACAACATCGTCCTTTTGCCTTTGGTAGTTGGTGATGAAAACTTCACCCAGCAGCAACAAATATCCGTGGGCTGTTCTACAACTTTATTGTCCAAATGGTACAAATCATCAAGTTCTTTTCGGTTTATTGGTCACGGCAGTCACGGTCTGTTGAGGTCTTCTTCTGTTTCTGCTCACGTTAAGGTTGAGCTCCGTAAGGAGTTCCAGGCTCAGGAAGCGGCGTTGCAGCGTTCTCTGTCAAAGCTGAGGAGTGAGCTTCAGAAGGCTCAGGAGGAGGCCCGCGAGAATCGAGACAAGACCAACAGACTGCAGACATCACTGGCCAACGCTGAAGGAACCATTAAGGTGTCCTGTTTAGAACTGGATGCATGGATGGATGAGTGCATGAACACATAGACATGAATGTGCATTTTTTCTGAGTCACTGAACGTTTTTAGGTCCGATTTGTTGGAAAAGAGATGAAAATATTGCTATTATGACTTTTATTTTCACGTTTTTATTTTAAAATTTCCTTGGAAAAAGTGCAAATCAAAGATGATTCTTTAGTTCCAGTTGTGTAGGAAGTGGGTTAAATCAAATGAAAAAGACTTTCTGAGAATAAAGACAAAAGCAGAAGCCTCAGGGTAAGATCGTTTTCAAGAGTTTCAGAGTGGTGGGAAAGGTAATGTAGTGTGCTCTGACAGAACTCCAGGGAGATCTGTTAAAATACAGAATGTAGAATCAGGAACACGTGTGTCGTGTATGTGCATTTCTGTTACAGAACCTGCACAAGCAGCTGGAGGAAGCTATCCAGGACGGAGAAATCTGGGTGATGCAGCTAAAGGACACAGAATATGAACTCGAGAGCAGCAGGGAGCGAGTTCAGCAGCAGGCCACTGAAATTCTCCACAAAGCAAGTAAGTTGTGTCTCTGGAGGTTATTTTTAACGGTCGTTCTTTGTGCTGACGTGCTGACACATCTGATTTTTACACATAATTCTCAGAGTGCTCTTTATGTGGCAACAACATGTTATCAGATCAGAACAGGCACAAAACCTCAAAGAGAGATTAATCTTTCCGTATTTTTTTCCCCCACTTAATATGGAGGAAAACCCAGACATGCCTTTTCTCAGTGACATGTTTCCAGCTCCTGCTGGGGAGGTGTTCCCAGACTTCAGAGGATATAAAATCCTTCCAGCGAGTCGTTGGTCTGCCCTGGGGTCTCCTCTCAGTGGGGCATACCTGAAAACCCTCCAAAGGTTTGCCTTGGAAGCCTCCTAATCAGATGCCTCAGCCACCTCACCTGACTTTTTTTTTCAGTGCAATGAAGTAGCAGCTCTACTCATAGCTCCCCATGAAAGACAGAGCCTCTCACAGGATCTCTAAGGCTGAGCTCAGCCACCCTACGGAATAAGCTGATTTCAGTCGTTTGTGTCTGGCATCTTGTTTTGGGCATGAGCCATGCCTCTTGACCATAGGTAAGGGTTAGAACAAAGAAGGACCAGTAAATCAAGCTTTGTCTTTTGTTTTGGCTCCTTCTTCTCTACGACAAATCAAAGCAATGCCCTCATTACTACAGACAATCCATCTCCTTCTCCAATTTACCATCTCCAAACTGAAGCTTGTTGCATACTCTAAAATGAAGTAGGCTGTGTGTTTACTTCAGGTGGCAAGAACAAGTACAATGTTGGTTCTGGCCAGGACATTTTATACTTCACTAGAAACTCAAGTGCAGAACTCCTATGAAGTCACACCACTTCATACCTGCAGAAAAGCAAGAATGTCAATATTTCCACTTTTCTTTCTGACCAAATTACATCAAAGTTGTTGGACACCACAGGAGAAATAAGTTTTGCTCAGATGAAGTGTTGATGAAGCTGCAAGAACTCCCAAACCAGGGCTGGAAGAACAACAAATTATATCATTCTTTTCTTCCAGCCCTGGGAAAGAGAGAACAGTTTCCTCTGTTCTTTCAGAGTTTAACATTATTTAGAGGAACTGACTTCATCCCAGCTGCTTCACCACTCAGCTGCAAACCACTCCAGTGCCCGTTAAAGGTCATAGCCTGAAGACACCAGCAGAACCACATCATCTGCAAAAAGCAGAGACGATGAGCTCCTGGATGCACCCCCCATAGAACCACTCAGGAAAAAGGTCATAAGTCTTCTCCAGATCCATAACACACACATAGACTGGAGAGTCAAACTCCCACAACACTTTTTTCAATCCCATAGGGGTAAAGATCTGGTCCACTGTTCCTCCTGAATCTGAGGTTTGACAATTGGTTGGAGCCTTTTTCCCAACAACCTGAAGTAAACCTGTAAACTTCTTCAGGGAGGCTGTGCTGATCCTTTAAGACCTGGAACGCAACATTGATTGATGCTCGTCCTCATACTGAAGTCACATTGAACGAATGAATGAGTGAATCAATCAATCAATCAATCAATCGATCAATAAATCAATAAATCAATCAAGATCCCAAAGGGAAATTACAGTTCAGAACTCCCATTCATAAGAACAGGTGTCCCCAGGTCATGCAGCCATAGACCCTGCACAGGACAGAGGAGGTGCTACCCTTAAATGCAATAACCTGTAGTCTGGATGAATAAATTGACCAAATTGTGTATATTAGACTAAATCCACACATAATACAGGAAATTTCTATGAAACTAAGAATATCATCTGAAGAAAATGTCCCTATTTTAATGCCATCCCACACAGGGACTCATAGACTCTTATAGTGGACTTCTCAAAAGCACCACAAAGCTCCATCAGTTTTTAAATATTGCAAGTGGGATGATTTGAAATAGTGTCTAAATACCTTCAGCTGATGCGGTAACTTGACTGTGGAGCCTGTTTGACGTGCTGGACTGTTTTCAGGTCAGATCGGTTCCTTGCAGGCCACTCAGATGGCTCATGAGGCGACCATCAGGAACCTGGACCAGGAGCAGAGTCGCCTCAAGGAGAAGATCAGTAGACTAGAGGAGGGTAGGGAGTCTCTGCTCAACCAAAGCCAGGCCGCCAACGAACAGCACAAACAGCAAGTGGTCAAGCTGGAGCAGGTAAGGCTTCCCTCCTCTGCAGCAGCACCAAAGGAGACGCCAGTCGAAGCCTAAAGATTTTGTATTTTTTTTGTGCTTTAGTCTCTACGCGAGGAGCACCAGGGCTATGAGAAGGAACTCTCTAGGCTGAGAGCTCACTACGAGGAGGAGACGCTTCGCTATAAGGAGGCGCAGGTCAGAGCGCTGGAGGAGTTAGAGGACAAGCACCGCACCATGAGGGAGGAGGCCCACCACGAGAAAGAGGAGGAAAAGAAACTACTCATTAATGTAAGTCCAAATTATGATTCTGTTGGTTTAAAGGACCATTTGTGAATTGTTGTTGTTGTTGTTGTTGTTGTTGTTGTTGTTGTTGTTGTTGTTGTTGTTATGCCAAAAAGTACTGGAGAAAAAAATATGTGATTACTTTATTGAGCTACTGTACAGGCTTAAGAATTATTTTTGGCAAATATTAACCACTTCAAAGATCAAAGTCTTAATTTTAACAGTAAAAAGTAAAATGAATAAAAATAAAGGAGCTAAAATACAGAGATAACAATTACAGTAAAATACCTAACAACACAAGCAAAACTTATGTAGCATGAAAAAGTGTAATAACCTTTCTACAGTATTTAAATTATATATATTTGATTTATTATATATTTGTTTGAAAATTTCTAATTTATAATATATTAACCCTTCTAGTAAATCAGAATTTTGCCATCTGGTAAAAATTGTCAAATCTTTTAAGTGCTATAAACTGACACAGTAGTATCTTATAGTAGTATATGTATTTTGCTGTGTGACTTCAAAAATGTTTAGAGAGCCATAAATAAAAATCAGTTCGTGAGAAATCATCAGTCATGCAAAAGAAGTAACTGGAACATTTTAAATTTCTTTTGAAAAATAAATAGTGTGAGTGTACAATTACTGCTGAAATTTATTCAATAAGGTGAAAATGAGTTGTTCAAATAAAATAAAACAAGAAGAGCAAAAGATAAAGCAATTGGAACTCCAGCTAAAACAAGCAGAACAGTAACTAACAGCTAACATAATCAGAACGATAGCTAAAAGTTAAAACCAACAAAATAATGAAAGTACAGTAACAACTGGCTAAAATTAATGAAAATAAGTAGTTATAAGTTAAATTTAGAAAATTTCTACTTAAAAGTTAACACTAACAGAACAATAGCTAAATTGTACAACCATCAAAAAGTAGCTAAAACAGGGTTCGACAAGATTTTATTTTTTTACCTGCCCGACATGAAAAGTTACCTGCCCGAAACAAAAATGTTCAAATTATGATAAAATAAGAAAAACGTGTACTGTACTTTGTACTACAAAAATATTAACATGGTTATGCAGAGGTATATAAAAAATGACATCTGATAAAACAGATGCAAACACTTTAGACTGAGTTACTAACAGTCAATTGTATTATCAAGAACATCTTCAAAAAAGTGTTTCCCTTAGAGTATTGGCCTTGGAGGTGGGTTTTATGAGAACAGAATGATCAGCAGCAGCAGCTTTGTTTTAAATACAATTTACAGAACATGAAAAAGTCTGAAATTTGCATTAATTAAATCTTATTTAGTGAATCTCATATCCAAAGGTGATTTAAGATATCTTGAACTGGAGTCTCCATACAACATGATGATAAATCTAATGTTATTTATACAAGTCAGAATATAATTAGATGTATCTTAAATAGATATTTTGAATTGTCAAAATATATTAAGAGATGTCTATTTGTTTCTTTCTTTCATTCATAAAAACAAAACCATCCATGTACAGCATTAAAAAAAACAAAAAAAAGTAAATCATACCCTGAAGTAAAAGGGTGTAGAGTGAAGAAAAAAACTTTTTATCATAGCTGCACCTTATTTTCAAAAATCAACTTCAACAAACAATCTCAAGCTGGAAAGCTCTCCATATTAAAAAAGGTAAATAAAACAAAATAATAAAAGAAAACATTTTATTATTTTATCCTAAATAACTAATATGTCTAATTTAGTCATAAAACAATTTCAGATAACTGGAATATAAGTGTGGTGAAGCCAAATAAATGAGAGATCGGCCTGCCATACAATGAGCTTCTGACCCGCTGCTGCTCCTCTCTCATCTTCATCATCATCTTCATCAGAGCAGAAGCCAACATTAGCAAGATGGATTTATGACTGAACGAACTTCCACATATTTTTTTCATCTCTGTGGGTAACAATACATAAAAAACATATTTTTTCCTCCGAAAACACGGGTGTGAAAAAAGCTACGGTTGTTAAACCTTCTCTCTGCGCGACCTGCAACAGGAAGGAGGGAGGAAACAAGCAAAATAGTGGCAGTAAAACCAGCTAATTTGCGCCTAAAAGCTAAAACCAGCAGAAGAGTAGCTAAATTCTAAGAGCAGCAGCTAAAAACTAAAATGATCAAAACACAAGCTAAATGCTAAATGAAGCATAAAAAGAGAACAATTGAGAAAATGACTGAAACAGATTTGAAAGGGAACAATGTTTTTAAAAAAATGAAGAGATTTTATGGGAAATACTGTATGTTACAAAAAACAAACATAGCACATTATTCCTGATTGAGCTTGATGTTTAGATATTTAAATATTGAAAATAGCACAAAGAATATGGAAAAACATATGGAAGAAACTATGAACAGGGAACAATAGTGCTGATTCTGCATTTACACTCTTAGAATATGCATTTGAGTTTTGTTTTAAGAGTTGTCCACACTTGCATAGGTGCAAACCCCCAACCCTGCAACCGAAGGACAACCTACTTATCTACAGGACCTTGTAAGGAGTTGTGTGTTTGTCAACACAGAAGCGTAGCAGTTCAATTTTCTCCTCAGTGAAGCTTCTCCACAGTGGGTTGTTTATATAGCTGTAGGAAATGAGCACCTCTCTCTGTTGTCTGCACACATTTAATTGGGTAGAGGAGACTTAAAAACATCTCTGCCCGTTTCCTGCTGCGTCTTTCACTCTGCCATCAGTTAAAGGGGCAATATCATGTAAAATCAACTTTTTAGAGTTTTATATCATGTTATAATGCTATACTCTCATAAAAAACACGCACAAAGCCTTGCTTTGACTCATTCATGCATGTTTGAGAAATCCTGCAGCATTTTTAGGAAGCCATGCTGAGGAGCAAAACAACAGGTGGGGACCAGAAACGCCTTTGGGGACCAGAAACGCCCCTGTGTTGTGTCTTTAAGCCGAGCTTCCTCATCACAGAGCACACCTCCCCACACCACTCCCCACACACCCCA